GTAAAAATCCAATTGAAAAAATTAGTAATTTTATTGGAAAAATGAAATATCTAGTAGAAAAACGGAGAATTCTGATTTGAAAATGAATAAAAAGTGAGTAAAAAAAGCGAGACACACGATTAGGCTGTAAATATCAGCTGTGGCTTTTGGTATACATTTCTAAAATTTGTTTTGAAAAATAACTGCTTATTAATTTCAGTCAGTCAGTCAATTTGATCATTCATTCAGAAAATTGCACAAGCACTTAAAACAGATTAAGCTGAATAATGAACAAATTATGTTTCAAGAACAATATTTGATTTCTTACTGTTCCCAACCCTAAAATCTAAAGGTAATTTATAAAAACGCGTAAAATGAATATTCCAAATTTAAAAAATTATTCGAAAATTTCAGGATGTTTAATGGACCTTCTAAAACCCCACTTTTTTTTATAAAACTTATCTCTTACCAGATAACTCAGAGAAGTCCAAAACTTTATTGCCCTTCCTCTGATTCATTGAACATCCAATGCATAATATCTATAATAGACAATACAAATTTGATCACATATTTCTTCGACACCATTTGAACTTTACTGAACTGTTGTGCTTCTATATGAAATCAAGACTGTCAGGACTATCTTCTTATATCTTCTTATCCAAAAATTTAACAAAAAGGTTTGACTAAATAAATTAGCTGTTTATGACTGAATATTTGCTCTCCAGTACAACTTCTTTTTAAAATTTTCTATTTGAAAATTTCTTCTAAACATATAGGACAAAATATTTATTTATTTCCATTATTTAAATCTAAACTTATTCTCTGACTGCATTTTTATTTATTCTCAACTGAACCAAAAGTTTTTTTATCAATAAGGAAAATATGTTTTTGTATTTTGTGAGTTTCGATAATTCATAATTCAAAATAGTTTTAGAATACTTTCTTTTGAAATATCTTACAAAATTTTCATTAATTCAAGAATGACGTGCGTGACATTCAAAAATACCTTTTTTGATAATAACTATGTAGTTTATATTCTTAATTACTAGAAATGACTTGTAAAGGTTGGTGTGTACACCCATTATTTTATATACTTATTTTACTAACAAACACGTGCGTTTAATAATTTTAGATTACTTTTAGATTTATAATATTTCTAGAATTGTATGTATTTTTGAAAAAGCTAAAAGAGAGTAGCTTCATGTTGTAAAATTTATGTTGTTTTCTAGTTAATTCTGCGAGAATTCTATTTTGGAATTTTAAAGGATGTACAAATATTATGGAAATTTTAATTGTAAGTATAATGGCAGAAGACTAAGATAAAACTTCAATTTTAAATAAATATGCAAAAAATATTGAATTATATGAGAAAATAAAGTACTAATTCTGACTTAATCTTTTAACTACCAGAAAAAAATTTCTGTTTACAAATATTCTCCCTCCCTCGAAAATTTTCCCTCGTTTTGAGTACTTTTTAGCACTTTTCCAAAAAATTTTTGAAAAAAAGTGCTTATTAGTTTCACTCTGTCCGTCCGTCCGTGTGTCTGTTTACAAAAGTTCTACACCCTTGAAGATAGAAAGCTGAAATTTTGTGTGTACATAGATCTTTACTAGAAACTTATTTCCGTAGAACAAAGTTTTTACCTATTTTCCCTCCCCCCTCTAGAAGTTATACCCCCCCCAAAACCCTAGAAATGGCCTTTTTTAAATATTTGTTGCAATGAAACCATAAGCATTTTTGAAATTTTGCAAACACATAAAGGCAGCGGCTTGCTTCCCCTTGCGCGGTATACTATAGTTAAACTTTAGAAAAACAAAATGGCCGTTCAAATTTACCGTTATCTAAAGTCTTTTTTTTCTAATTTTTTGATATCGTTCTTCTTCTAAACCCCAGCATGTAGCAGCTTGAAATTTTAGGGGCTTTTAGACATTAACAAATAGTTCATTTCGTTAGAAAAAAATTTTTTTCCATCCTCCCCCTCTCAAGTTATCGTTTCTTGAAATTTGTAAAATTTGAATTTTTGACACCTTATATTTCCGAAACCGCAAGCTTTTTCAAAATTCTATAAACACAAAAAGCTAACGGTAAATTCCATGATATTAAAAAATATAATTATTTTTCTTAATTCACACAATTAACCCTTAAAATCGAGCATTATGTTAACCCCTCTTTCTATTAATTTTTGCTTTATTTCAAAACTGCATCTGTGCATCATCCTAAATATATGCAATCCTAGAAAGAGTATCGTATATGAATGAAAATATTTTTAACAGTGTGTTAGATATACATAGACTGCATTTAAAAGCAGAATTTTCGCTTGCTGAAGGGAAAAGTGCTACAATGCAAACCATTGGTTTGACCCAACTTTATTTTAAATAGAATTTTAATTATTAAGAGCTACTGTTTTAATCGACAAAAGTCGTTATACAAAATTAAAGAAAAATACAATTTAACTTATAATTTGTGTTGCAATATTTCTATGTTATTTTATTCATTTGTTTACTATTAAAATACTAAACAATATTTGCCCCTAAAGGTATGCATTTTTACTCTCTATACTCCTTAAAGATTTTAACATTTATTCTTCTTCAATAATTTGAATTTAATTTTAAATAGAAAAAAAAGGAGCATTCAAAGAGAAAAATTCATTAAAATACGATAGAAAAAGAATCCTTGTGTGTTTTTACGTAAAAATAAAAAATCGAAATTAAAAAAAAACGTTTGTCATTACACAAATGAAAAATAAACTACAAAATTAAAAAAAAAAAAAAAATTAACAACAAATCATTCATTTGCAATTTTTCTACTTTCAGTTGATTAGAAAAAGGCAAACAGATCTATTTCAAAGAAAAATACAAAAAAAAAAGACTCATTTCCGTCTTGTCATTGAAAACAGAACATCTTAAAAATCTAAAGGTACTTATTATTCGTTACTAATTGTTTGCTATATATATTATCTTAATCCAAAAAATTTTCTTTCATCCCCAATCCACATCTCCTTTAGAATATTATGTGAAAATAAAATGGTAAAAAAAATCAATTTTTTATCTCTTGAAATATATTTTTTGTTTTTTTGATGTTATTTCTTAAAAATTCTAGAATTATATTAAAAAATGGTTATATAGCTATTCTAACATATTTAGGTACAAGAGAACAAGTATCCCATAAACATAGAAACGCACGAATAAAAAAGAATATTAAATGTAAAACGTGTAATTCGTTATTTAGAGCGTGAAAGTTTAAGTCAATTCTTGCGAATAAAATTTAATAAACCCTCATAATCTAAGCCTTCTTTTTAAGGAGATTATGTTTGAAAAATACAGTTGGCTCCAATTGAACTGAAACTATAATGAAAAGATATTGTTTAAAATGAAAAATTTGGGGGAAAAATATTTTTCTACTCAACTAAACTAATCGCCAATTTTACTGTAATAACATGGCAACTCTTATATTAATTTGTAACCAGTTGAACGAAATTCATTGAACTTTCAAGCCTATAAGTTGTTAAGAAATAATCAATTTCAAATGGAATTACATTTAAAAATTATATTGAGATTTTTTATTTTATATGCTTACTTCTACCTCTATTCATTCAGCTTGTAATGTGACATCGGACCGTCGAACTCCTATTTGTTTTCAATTTATTCTATTGTTCAGAAAATTGAAGTTAAATTCCAAAAATATCATTTTCTTATTTCATCTATACGTGTATATTTAATCATTCAATTATTAGAATATTTATGTATTTTAATATTATCATGAAATTCCTATAATTTTTAAATTTAATATTTCCTGATTTTTATATTAAAGAAAAAAAAACTCAAAAGGAAATATATAAATACATAGGTAAATATTACAAAATTAAAGCTCATAAATTCCTTATACAAGGTAATCTCCGCTATCACTTTTATTACTACACGTAGACACACAATTTCATATATACGCACGCATTCATATACATACTGAAATTCATTTTAATATATAAAGAAACCCTCAGAAATTTTGGTAGTATATATAGGAGACTACTAAGAAAAATGTAAAACAAAAAAAAAAAAATTGCGTGCCATAACGCAATTAAAAAACAATGAAGGGAAAAAATAAAATAAAAAAAAAAAAAGAAAGAAATCACATCAAAATCGTAATATTTTACAACACAATTGGGGGCGTCATCGTTTTATGTACACATTTATAGCGAAATATAAAGAAAAGTAAAACAAAAAAACATAAAAAAAAAAGTGAAAATCCAAAACAACTGTAAAAATGTAAAATATGTAGATTCCTACAAGGTATTATTAACGCTCTCAAAATCTGTTCAGGAAATCTTAACCATTTAAACAATGTACGTATAGATATGTTGATCCTTTTTAAATTATCATATATATACTCGTACATATACTAGTATTAAGTAATGTTCACGTATTTTAATATAAATTACTATACATATGTTATTTCTGTTATTTATACACGTTTCAGTTCATTAAAATTTATTTTTCCTCGTAATGTGCCTTATACCGAAAACATTTCAATAATAATGTTAATTTAATAATTAGCTCTTAAAATGAATGTACATAAGTGTGTGCATGTAAATAAAATTTTTGGACATTATTGTGAATTAAATTGTTTCTTATATTTTCCTCGAATTAATTATAATTATCTCTTCTAGGGTATTCTTTCTCCCTTCTCTCTCAATGAACAAGTCAAGTAAAGAGAGAAAAGTCATATAAAATTTTTAATATGCAATTGCAAGTAAATTTTACTGTTATGATGTGATATTAGTAACATTACCACTCTTATTATCTACCTTTCTCTCAAATTTCTTTACATTACAATGTTGAAATAAAATTTTATTAAAAACTCTCTCTCTGAAATTCCTTCACCATAGTAGTATTTGAATTTTATTTATAAATTCAAACAAACAAAATTTATTTTATTTTTTCTATTTTTATTTTTCATTATTTTCAGTGTTTTGTTATTTTTGCCTTGGTTTTTTTGGTTTCGTAACCATATAAATATTGATAAAATGATGGAAAATTGTTTAAATCCATGTAAACGAGTAAAAATTCAGCCGGTGCCGGTAAACACAAAAAAAAAATTCATTATAAAATTTAACGAAATAAATTTTATTTTTCAAAATCATTTATAGAAAGTTATTGGAGATACAAACACCAACTCGAAGGAAATACCGGAAATAAATACTAATATGGAAACAGCACCATCTGCAGCTGGAAAAGAAGTCAATTTTAATGAAATTGAAGTAAACAAATGTTGCTATTGCATTAGAAAAGAAATTAAAATTTTTTTAATTATTTACAGAATGTCTTAACGGATATTCCAGCACCACCAATTGAAGAACCTGCAACATTAGCAGCAAGAATGAAAGCAGCAGATTTCGCTGTAAATATTAATCTGCACCAAAAATAAATTTTAGATTAAAACTGTTAAACATTGAATATTAAATAGGTTACTGAATATAAAAGAGCTGATGAAAGTGTTAATCCACCATGTTATTTACCACAACCAGAAGATTCAGCACCAGTATGCAATAATATTGAACCAATGGGTCCAGTTGGTCCATGGGCAACAGGAAAAGTTGATTGGAGTCCTTTGGGTGGTTTAACTGGAACACGTCCTGTTGTTGATCAATATTCAATAACAAGATACAGTACAAATGAATGGCGACAAAAGAATAAAGATATTTTTAATGAAGCATTTAATACTTTCGAGAATGCCGCAAAGTAGAAAACATTTATCAAATATTTTTTCATTTCAAAATATTGATTTATAAAATTATTTTCAGAGTTATCAATGATGGCAAGGATACTATAAATAGAACCAATGCTTTAATAGATAAGTCTCAGAATGAGACAACAAAAATGGTAAGAGAAAGAGCTCAATTAGTTGCACGTTGGAAAGAATCATTGGAGAGGGCAATTAAAGCGATGGCTGAAGAAATATCAACAATGGAAGTACAAAGAGCTCGCTTAAAATCATCACTAACCATTCTAAAAACACCACATCTAATTGGTAATATTACAACACTGTCAATACACTCATAAATGTTTCTTGAATTGATTTTTTTAATATTTACTAAAGCCAGTGAATGTCTTGCTTTGCGTTCAACTCGACCTGATAAAGAACTTATTCGTGACAGACCTGAAGAAGAATTAATCAGAGAACTTGCAATGATATCTGAAATTCGAGTACTTCTCGAGAAAACATTGGCTGATATCACACAACAACAAATTGAAAATCGTGCAGCCAGAAACCGTTTAGAATATGATTGGAGTGATAAAAAAGATGCATATGAATTGGAATTGCTTAATGTTTCCTACAATAATTTTTCCAAAACCACTGTTTTCAGACCAGGAGCAACACGTCTCGATGCAGAGTAATTTTTTATTAATTTCATATTTTATAATCGTCTATTAAGAATTTCTCTCAAAAAAGGCAATCATCTCAGGAATACTGGGAACATTTTACAAAAGAAACCTTAGATGAAAGTGAACGGTGTAGACAAATGTCTGTAAGTATGAAGTAAATATTTGCTATATTGTGAAACACGTTAAATGCTAATGAAATCATACATTTAGATAAATTTACGGAGCACTTTAGATGCTCTTTTAATGAATGCTGCTCGAGATCTTAGAAATCAAGCGGATACTGTTGAAAAAGCTTTCCATGAGAGAATTGATTGCATGCAGGAAAATGTTAATCGACTCGAAAATGAACTAAAATATGTACTTACATTTCAGCATTTTCAAAAATCTAGTTTCTAATTTTAACATTCTCCTTCTTTTTATATTTTTTAGTGCCTTCAAACATTGGCCGACACCGAAAATAGAATTATAGCTTTGCGAGAGGGTATGGTGTCTTTGGATAAAGTTGCAAAATTAACTCAATCAAGATTATATAATAAAAATAGTCGACCACATGTTGAAAATTGTCGTGATCATACATTAAATGGTCTTGTTAATGAAGTTAAAATTACACAAGATGGTGTTAGTTCAATATTAGCAGCAATGGAACAGTCTCAACAGTCCAAGTTGCGTTTAATGAATACAAGAAGTGACTTGGAGCGTGATTTAATGTTAAAGAAAAGATGTTTAGTAATTGATCGTCAACGTTGTATGCTTTTAAGATCACTTTTTCCATCAACTAAGACTTTGACTGGATTATAAGAATTCCTTTAAAATACAGAATTCATAATTATGTGCTTATGTGTGTTTTAAAAATATTTCAACCGGAGTGAGAAAATTGCAAATTTTTTAGTGTTGTGAGGCACCGTTTTTTACATATTGTAGTATTAATAAAACAAAATTAAAAATTTAATTATTTTTCTGTTCCTTAAATATTTGAAATTCGTATTTTACAGCAGATCTTGTTTAGCTTTTCAAAATACTGTTCTTTTCAACCGAGAGGGTCGAAAATATGTGTACAATTAAATTTTATCAATTAAAGCTACACAAATATTAATTCAACTTACGGAATTTTGTGATAAGTTCAACTTACCTGAAAGGAAAAAGAAAAATAAATAATTAATTTCAATTATAAATAATAATATTATGTATGAAAATAGTACATAAAATTTCAAATAGATGGCAATAATTTAAAATTATTTAAAATTAAGCAACAAATTTTCAACCGCGCAAGGTGTTCTAATACATCTTGGGATTTTTAATCTTATGAACTAAGTGACACTGTAACAATTTTCAATGATCTACAAGCTCTTACTAAAATGTTACTTATTCTGTGAGAGGAGAAGTAAAATATATGATATTGTTCATTTATAAATTTACTCTTATGTCGGCGAATAAAATGGCAGTTTAAGTCATATATTGTATATTGTAACCACGGCCACACGAAAGAGTTATGGTTTTACGCTTAATATGGATTGTAAAATTGCGTTCTTCGTTATGTAATCGCGTTTCTAGTATCATGCGTTTTATTAGTAAAAAATGTAGACTAACAAGCACGAAGAATTAATTAATGCGAATAATAAAATTTATTTAGTTTTAAATAAATTGAATATGAAAACTTGAATGAGAATATCGAAAATGGCTGTCTGTCATCGGTCAGAAACTAACTTCTAATAATTATTTTCACTGCCGCTATAGACTTGTTATTAACACAAAAAAAAATATTTGTATTAACAAAACAAATGTCAATATATATGTTTGGACATGAGCTGCCATTACTCGCTCACGTGATGTGCGGATAAACTATAAATTATTAGTTCGGTTATTTTCGAATTATTTACAATTCTCTAATTATTTAGATTTTTTTTTTACAGAAATATGGTCCCACAATACGATCTCATATTGTCAATGGAATGACTGACAATTCCAATTACAAATAAGTTTTACACTTCATATTATTTTTTATTATAACAATTTTTAACATTATCTTTATTAAATCATAAATTTACAATATAAAATTACGGTATAAAATTACGATAATTATAATAGAAACACCTTTTTTTTTTATATTCTTATAAATTAATTTACTTTGCTATTGTTATAAATTATGGATATAAGTACGTATATGCATACATGTGTACATATATTATGTACAATACAATAGTGTATTGTAACAGAGGCAAAGAAAAAAACCTCTACTTGAACATTTTTAAATTTTTATTAGAAAAAATTATGAAAAAAAAAAATAATGAATATTACAATAAGTTTGTGTGTGTGCAAACATATTTTGTGATTAAATAATATATTCAGTATTGTGTTGGTACTTGAAAATTCATATAGCAATTAAATATTATAAAAGAATCTATTTATAGTTCTTTACATAGATATTGAATGAAACAGGATATTTTTCAGAACTAAAATTTAATATTGATTGATTAGTAAGACAAAAAAATATGTATATTTTGGGAACTTCCTTATTTTATTACGAAGAAGAAATTCTTTTGCATATTGTAATATGGCTCCTTTTACATGTGCATGTCTTTTTGAATAACAAAGTTCAGAAATTCATAATATATGTAAGTACAATTAGATAATGTACACGGGCATTTATTAATATAAGATGTTGCACGACAAACATGAAAATACGATTAAAATCAGATACGTATTACAAGCAAAGTAATTATGGCAAAAATTCCTTTATATAAAAATAATGTGCTTATTGGTATTACTCTGCCATATTTCTGTCCGGGCATTTACTTATAAAGATTTCACATCCTTTAGGAAAGCAAAAACGAAAATTTTTACTTACAAAATATTTGTCTTTAGTTTGAATCCAAATTAATGTGTCCAGTATTAATAAAATGTTGTCGCATTTATGTCAAAATCATAAACACACATTTAAATAAAAATTTAAATTATAATTTTCAGTTTGTATTTAACATTTTATCTTTCCTCTTTTCAAACTCACATCTTTCCAAGTCTTTTCAAACTCACTTTATTTAACTGGTATTAAATGGAGGATTAAATTTACAATTTTATAATAATTTTAAACAACTGCACCATAACTAGTACATGAACTTTTAAAATGTAATTATTTTCTATAGAACACGTAGAAAAGAATATCATCTAGAATTCTAGATACTCGAATACTTATAAAAATCTTTCTGGAATTTATTAAAATATTTAATAATAAATTCCCGGTTGATACTTGAAAAAAAGCTGATAAAAACCTATACAAAAGTATAAACATTGTATTTTAATACCAAATTATCATATTTTGTTGCTTAACACAAAGTTTAAGATGAAGGAAATTATTTTCCATAAAGAAAAAAAATAAAAATATAAGAATTTTTCCCTAAAGACCTTTTTAACACTAAAACACTTTGAAATTTAATTCAATCACTCATAATTTTTTAATAGGAGTCATTAATGAAAAATGACGACAAAATTTTTTTTTTTTTGTTAGTTACACTACCCTGAATAAAATTCTTTTATTTTTGAAAAATATTTCGAAAACAAAAATAACAAGGAAATTATTTTAATAAAGTAGATCATAAGGTTATACAAGTATTGCAAAGAAAAAAAAATGTGTAATACTTAAAATTTCGTTATTGGAATGCAAAAAATTTTTGTGCTTAAAATACCATTAAAAATATAAATAATCAATAACCGTGTCCATATACAAGTTATCACCGTCTTTAGTTACATATTCAAGTGGTATCAAATTACATCTTCAGTACGATACTAATTTCTGTTCACATGAAAATTGCTGACACAGCGTCTGCAATCGAACATGTTTAAACATGAAGAAATTACGAAATTATCGTTCCCATCAAAAATGCTGACGAAACGTCTATAATTTTGCACGAGGCCGGAAATGAACTTAATTTTAATTACTATAAATACTGTTAGATTTTAAGATATGATTTAGTCTAAAATTGGTGTTAATAAGAATAGAATATTATAATTAAACTATCAATTCGAATTTAAGTAATTGTAAAATTTAATTTTTAAGTAATAGTTGTGACATTGTGTGAAATAAAATTATTTTTTTATAATCGAATCAAGATAGTTTAATAACTGGCGCCCAACGTGACTTGAATCGTGAAATCGCAAAACTCTTCGTTAAATTTTAAAAGAAAAGAAGAAAAATAAGCATATCGCGATAAAAGTGTACCCAACTATAGTGCGCGTATTGTGGAAATCCGAAGTGAAATAAAAAGAAAAAGGAACTGAAGCAAACCGTACTTACAAAAAAGTGTTGAAGATTGTGCCGCAGTAGGACGTTTACGAGAATAAAAGTTCACGTCTAAAAAGGACAAACACAACTCAACCGCTATTCGCATTACTCACCAAGACTCAAACAGATGAATTACGTTTTTTTCCTGTAAGTAGTTTTTCATTACACTTAATCTTAAAAACTTAACTGAGGGAAACTAACTGCATCTCACTGAATAAGCTTTAAAAATATAGAAGCTTCGTTAATTTTAAAAAAAAAATTAAGATTTAAAAAAAATTGAAGTGATAAATGAAAATTAAATTGAAAATTTGAAAAATTAATCAATTAACCGATAATAAATTGAAAAATTAAAATTTAACCAATAAATATTTAATACAAAAAATAAAACAAAAGTAATTAAAAATTTAAATGAAACCAGTAAAAAATTAATAAGATTAACCAATTAAATTTTATATTACCAAGAAATATTTAATTAAAAAATAAAACAAAAGTAATCAGAAATTTAAATAAAACCAGTGAAAAATTAATAAGATTAACCAACTAAAAACTTAAATTTAACAAAAAATTTGAAATTAATCGACAAAATTTGAAAGAAAAATATAATTTAAAAGTTTAAAACCGCGTAATAGAATAATTTAATTAGTGAAATTACCTTAATAAAAAGTTAAAAATGGAACAAATAATGGAAGAGCTCAAAAAATTAAATGGAGCCATCAATGCTCAAATTGAACAAAGCAAACGGTTTGAAATTCGCCTAGCAAAACTAGAGGCTCAGTTCAATACACCACAACCGCAGGTAACAAATTTGGCAGCACCGAAAAGTGAAGACGACCTGAAACAAATATCGAGACTTCCGGACTGTGTCAAAGATTTACAAACCTTTGATGGCGATGCAGTGCAGTATGTATCATGGGTGCACAGCGTAGAATCAATTCTACGAGATTACGAAGTTGTCAGAAACAAACCCATATACAGAGCAATATTACAAGCTATTAGAGGAAAAATTAGAGGTAGAGCAGATGCAGCTCTAATATCGTACAACCTGTTCGACGAAGAATGGGCCGCAATCAAGCAGTGTTTGTCCCTGCATTATGCCGACAAACGGGACATACGCACATTGGAGCACCAAATGAGCACACTGACGCAGGGAAGATCAACCATAGATGAATTCTACGCCAGAGTCAACCATCAATTCTCCCTCATAATCAATAAGATCAAGACCGAGAATTATACAAAAGAAACTATAGACGTATTGATAGAATCACAAAGAAACAGAGCACTGGACGTATTTATCCGAGGGCTCAATGGGGAATTGTCCAGGTACTTGATGCTTCAGAAACCGTCAACTCTGCCAGAAGCATATTCAACGTGTCTAGAGCTCCAGAACTATAGTTGCCGAAACTTCGCTATACACAACAGGAATGATAACAACAGAATCACTGTACCATTCAACAAAATGTCCATGAAACGACAACAACCAAGTGCTGGGAACCCAAGGTCGTATCAACCAGAACAGCCATTAACAGTGGAACAACGGAACTTGGCTTACAACATTCAACATCAGAGAGAATCGCAACCTCCACCTAGACCGCCAAAACCGTTAGAGAAGATGGACGTTGACCGATCCATACAAACACGTCAGGTTAATTATATGAACCGGCCAGACAACTACAGGGGAATATACAAGAGGCCACCATCAGTAGGCAACATGCCTAGCAATAAGCACCAAAGGCTATTCAATATGGAAACACTTGAAGACGACGTAGATGACCACCCAGAAGAATGCAGCGAATATGACGAAGAACCAGCATATGCAGATGATGAGGTTCAAGAAGTAAATTTTATGACGGACG